GTATTCAAAACCCTTCATAGTCTTGGTCACATTGTTTTTAAATCGAGCCAGACCAAATTCCTGGACAGCTCTGGAGACACCAAACAAGCTAGAGGAGACCCAGGCTTCGCAGCAGATTTCGGTCCAAACACTGTTATCAGAGTTCACACAGTAAACACAGCGTTCCTCCACCACCATCAGCCGGGCATGGTTGATGTTCCAGGTGAAGGTGGTCATGGTCTGATTCTGTGGGTCCACAGTAGAGTCCTCCAGGATGTACACCGAGTGAGCAACATTGGCAGGAAACAATCGCTCAGCCCAGCGTGGCATCCTGTTGGTCTTGGTCAGGAGTCTCCGGGACAGGAGTTTCTGGTCAGGGGTAACCTCCCGGTGTACTATGTCTTCCATCAAGACATGTTTGCTGTAGGGATTCGGGTACCGCTGCCAGAAGGCGGCGAACACTTGGTCCCAGGAACTCCTGAGCACTCTCTGGCCCAGGGAATATTTCACCATTGTCCCTGCCGGGAAGGACTCAACACCCGCGAAGCATTAGGAGTGCGGAGCCCGGGGAGCACGTGGAGGCCAGGCCAGAGCTCGGCGCCCGCCCGCCAGGCTTGCTCAGTCACCACCACCCAAGCTTCCACCGCCATGAGGAGTGGTCAGGCTGATTACCTAAAGTTTTTACATGTAATACTCCTTATTTTTTTTAACTCTGAGATCTAGATAAATGATGATAGATATATAGATGATAGACAGTATTTTGTTCCTTTTTCTATCTTTAAATTGTTTGCATATATGTGTATGCATGCTTTGTGCCCTTTTTTTTTTTAATCCTGCCAAAAGTTTATTAATCTTTTCAAAGGATTACTATTTGGCATAGGGAGTTCTGGTGACTTAGTAGTAAGGACTTTTACTGCCTACCTAAAGACACATGGTTCAAATCCACCATCTGATCCACAGAAGACATACAGGCAGTCTGCTTTTGTGAAATTTACTGCCTCTGAAAATCTGTTGGAGGGCCAACTATTGACTTATACTCGTTGAATTTAGTCTTTCTTTCCTCTAACTTATTAAGAAAGATTCATTTCCTAATACTTTTCTGTATTTCTTTGTTTTTGTTGTTGTTGATGTTGAGAATATATATAACAAAACAAATACCAGTTCAGTATTTCTACAAGTACAACCCAGTAACATTGATTATAGTCTTCAAGTTGTGTAAGTATTTTCATCCTTCTCTTCTGACTTGTTCTTCCACCATTAATATAAACTTCTTGTGCTGTAAAGCTCCTATTCAATCTTTTGAGTTGCTGTTATCAATTGACGCCCATGTAGATAGTTCTTTTAAAAAGTATAATACTCAGAGCAAACATTTTTACTAGTTAGGCTAAATGATTATTTGGTTTAAGAATATTTCAGAGAATATTTTCTATGTAAGATTTACAGATTATCACAAAGTATTTAACTTCTATTGCAGTCAAAAGAAAAATTAGCCTTAAAAATGCTTTAGCCAAAAAAAAAAAAGCTCTAGCCTTACAACACAGTGGTAGGTTTGAAATCCCTGTGAATCATGGCCTTGGCAAGAACACTATTGTCCTAGACTATTTTGGAACAGACCTCTTACATAATGTCATGATAAGTGTACCTTTTTTCCTATATAAAATTGGGCATGTACATTCATAATCTGAAATCTTATTCTTTTCTCTGATTAGTCAGCTCATGTACTGTTTCTCCAGTTGGCCTCCAAAAAATAATTAACTTGTTAAAAAAAAAAGAAAGAATTAACTTGTTAAATGCTGTTTTTATTGTTTTGGGCTTTTTCAACCCTTGGCTCTAAAAGACTTTTTTTTTTTCAGGCCTATCTTTTTTTTAAAATTTCTTTATTTTTCATTTCAATGAACATCTACAGAGATTTTGGAATTCCATTCATTCATTGTTGCACCCCTGTCCCCGCCCCCCCCATCCCACCCTGTTTGCTCCTCTCCTTCAAACGCAAAAGAAAAACTCCCTCATTGGTACGCAATCCCACACACACATCCCCCAACCCCCAAATATAATCCACTCTGCAACCCTCATTCCGTACTCTTACGATAAACATAATGCCCTAAAATATAAAATATTTTCTCCCCCAAAGACTTCAATGCCATAAACATATTTCATCCAGTTTTTATCAGTCTTACCCTCATCCCGATGTCAGCCTCATTCTACAACAGTGGCCCCATATAGCATTTACCCTAAAGAGACCATAAATAGCACCCATGTAGATAAATGTATACCCATGTTTATTGTGGCTTTGTTTACAATAGCAAGGAGTTGGAAACAACCCAAATGCCTATCAACAAACGAATGGGTAGAGAAGCTGTGGTATATTTGCACAATGGAATATTATGCTGCATTGAAAAACAAGGAACTCATGCAATATTACTCAAAATGGGTGACCCTGGAGGACATTATGCTGAGTGAGGTATCTCAGTCACAAAGGGACAAATGCTATATGGTGCCACTGTTGTAGAATGAGGCTAAAAGACTTTTGACTCATCCAGAGTGAAAGAGAAACAAGGAAACAAAAAAAACTCAGAGATATAACAACAAAAGAAATAATAATGTAAAAAGTATTTCAAAGATAAAGTCTATTGATAAGATACCTAAACATTTGGATGTTTTTTCTGATTAAAAGAATGATATATTTATTGACAAAAATTTGGGAATTAGAAATAGTTGTATAGTATGAGGAAGAAGAAAAACTCACTGTAATCATACTCCTAATCCCACAACCATTACTTTAAATATAATAAAACATAAAAGAAAATAATTAAAAAAAGAAAGACACAGAGAAGAAACTCAACTACAAGGCTGTCTACATGAACCATGGTGTCATCTACTCTGGGACCAGAAGAAATAGACAGTGCCCAGCTACCACTGCCAATTGTTTTCGTCACAGTTGATGGTCACAACAGTTCTTAACATAACAGGAGAGAATGTAGGCCAGAACCTCAAATTCTGAAAATATCTAGATTACTAACCTAGTTGAGACTAGAAGAATCCTTAAGACTATTGCCCTGAGATATTTAAACATTGGGCTGAAACTATCCCTTGAAGTTACCTTTTAGCTAAATAACAGATTGTTTCAGAAAATAGTGTCACTTTTGAGTACCACACTTCTTTAAAATATTGTTTATATGAGGCCAAATGGTTAACAATATTTTAAAACAAAGATGAGAACATAAGGGACAGAGAAATTAGAATACTGGAAATAGAATAACAGGACGGCAATGATGAGAATGTTCACACATTGTAAAGATTATAACGAGTGTTACTCAACACTTTAGGTAAAAATTCTTGATTGGAAACCTAATTTTCTCAGTAAACTTTAACCAAAAAAATACTATTTCTTAATAAAAAGGGATGAGGGAAAATCCTCCAATTATATTCCCAGAGGATGTAGTCATGACAATAATGAATTTATTATGCATGTTAAATGTTGTTGTTAGAGTTATATGCCATTGGGTCACCTACAACTCATAGTGACCCTGTATATAAGAGCTCTGAAGCCTGCCCTATCCAGAGCTGTCTCACTGTCTCAGACACACCTATCCCAATTGCCATAAGTTACTGTGTCAGTCCTTCTCATCTGGGATCTTCTCTCCTGTGCTGTGATCCATCTTTCCAAGCATGGTGTCCTTCTCCAAGGACTGGTCCCTATTGGCCACATGGCCAAAATATGTGAGACAGAGCTTCAAAATCCTCACCTTCAAAGAGCAACTTGGTTTCACCCTCTCCAGGACAGACCTATTTGTTCTTTTCATAGTCCATGGTGTGTTCAATACTTTTCTCTAGTACCATAACTCAAAGGCATCAATTCTTCTTCTGTCATCCTTAGGCACTGTCCAGCTCTCGAAGACCTGGATCAAGTGCACTTTAGTCCCTAGACTCTTTTAGCACTTTGGAGAGGACCTTGACAGCAGAGTTTCCCAATACCATTTGTCTTTTGATTTCCTGACTGCTGGTGCCAAGAGTGTTGATTGTGGAGTTGAGCAATATGTAATTGTTAACAACCTAAATCTCTTCTCCATTTATCATGGTGCTGCCAATTGGTCCAGTGGTGAGAATCTTATTGAACTTCAATCCATATTAGCATGTTAGATATAACACAAAATACTCCTCAACAACTTTTTAAAGTACATTTTTTGAGACTTAAAAGCAAAATTTAACAGTCAGCAAACCAAATATTACTCCAGACTTCCTGGACACCCTTTATGGGAGAGGCTACAACCATGTCACTGTCAATATTTTCAAGAAGGTGTAAGAAAAAATGTGGCAGAGAATATTGACAGAATATTATGATTATGTTGTTTGAAAGCAAAAAAGTACAGACTTAGTAAGTGGCACGTTTGAGCTGTGATATTGGAGAAGAGCACTGAACATCCCGTGGAGGGCCAAAAGAATAAACAGGTATGTCTTAGGGTGCAGCTGGAGTGCTCTGTGGAGGCAAGAATGATGACGTTTCACCTCATTTATTTCAAGCATGTTGCTAGGAGAGGCTATTCCTTGGAGAGGGGCACGATGCTGGGAAGGGTGGAGCATCAGAAGGAGAGACTCTTGACCCGGTAGATTGACATGGTGATTGTTACAGTGGGCCCTTGTGTGTCAGGAAATGTGAGAATGGCACAGGGCAGAATAGGGTTCATATCTTTTGTTCATAGGGTCACTATGAGTCGTGCTCAACTCGATGGCACCTAATAACAATATCAGGACAAGGACTAAAATATAAAGATATATAAAATGCCCTTATCATCTCTTAATGTAATGTCTAGTGAGGGAGTCAAACAATCTGCATTTCTCAAATTAGGATGCATTTATTCCCAGGGACACACAAAGACACAAGATCAGCATGATACACTTTTGAAGTATACAGTTTCTTATAATTTAGGGGGATTTGCAGAGGTAGAATAAAATAATTTTACTTTTAAGTATCTTAAAATATATATTCTCAGAATTGTAAAGATCTTTTTATAAAAACAAAGTCCTTTACAGGGTAAAATTATTTATTATGTTGTTGTTGTTATGTGCCCTCGAGTCGCTTGTGACTCATAGTGACCCTTTGTACAACAGCCCTCAACTTTGTGCTGTTCTGTGCCTATCGCGCGGTCTCCGATACACCCATCCGATTACCGCAGTCACTGAATCAATCCACCTCATAGAGGGCCTTCCCCTCCTGCGCCTGCCTTCCACCCTCCCAAGCATGATGTCCCTCTCCAAGGACCAGTCCCTCCTCACAACATGTCCAAAGTATGTTAGACAAAGCCTCAGAATCCTTGCCTCCAAGGATCAGCCCAGTTTAACCCTCTCTAGGATGAATCTGTTTGTTTTCTTAGCAGTCCATGGTACCCTCAATAATCTTCTTCAGCACCACAGCTCAAAGGCATCAATTCTCCCTCTATCCTCCCTAGTCATTGTCCAACTCTCTGACACATAACAAGTGATTGCAAAGACCATGGCCTGTACCAGACGCACCCTAGTCTCCAGAGAGACGCCGTTACTCTTAAGTACTTTAGAGAGGTCCCTAACAGCAGACTTTCCCATTGCAATATGTCTTTTCATTTCCTGGCTGCTGATGCCAAGAGTGTTGACTGTGGAGCCAAGCAAACTAAAGCTGTTAACAGTATCAGTCTCTTCACCATCCATTCTGATGCTGCCAATTGGTCAAGTAGTGAGAATCTTTGTCTTCTTGACATTGAGCCACAATCCATATTATGCATTTTCAAAACAAAGTACTAGATTTCAAAAAATGTTTGTGAACTGGTATACCAATATGGACTATACTCCTAGTATAATAAATTTATTCTCTGCAATTAGAGGTTCCTAGGTATCAAAATGTAAGAAGCAATAATGTATGTAATGTGTCCTAAGTAGAAATCATTCATTCTCCCAGAGTAATCTATAAATGCTTCACAGAGGAAAAAGCACGTGAACTAGACTTTTTTTTTTAAATTTAATGCAGTTATTAATGTGCCTCTCATTCATTTTTTGCCCAGAGTATGGAATTCTTTTTTATTGTTGCATATTTTCTTCCTCGCCTCCCTTCCCCCTGTCCCCACCATACACCCCTTGTTCCACATTGTTGTCATACGCATAATGCCTAATCATATATTCCTTTAAGACAGTTCTTCCCAGGGAGCTCTGGTGGCCTACTGGCAAGAAGCTGTACTGCAATTCCAGAGGTGTGCGGTTCAAATCCACCTAGATGCTCTGCTGGAGAAGGAGAGACAATCTCCTCCTATCCCAGTCAGATCTGATTTGACGGTACATGCACAAAAAATAATAAAACTTAAAAAAAAAGACAGTTCTTCCCCTCATCTGTTCTATTCTGCCATGTCTATCCTTATTTTATAACAGTGGTGTTACGCAGTGTTTGTCCTTTTGTGAATGACATATTTCACTCAGTATAACAGCCTCCCCCTATTGTGTAATGTTTTATGAGTTCATTGTTTTTTAATGCTGCATAATATTTCATTATGTGAATGTACCATATTTTTTCTACCCATTTGTTTCTGGGTAGGTGCTTGGGTTCCATCTCTTTGTTGTTATTAATAGCACAGCAATAAACATGGGTGTGCATACATCTGTTTGAGTCACGGCTCTAGTTTCTTAAGGTTAGTGAAATTGCTGGGCCAAATGGTATTTCCATTCCGAACATTTTGAGAAAGTGCCTTCTATAGTGGCTGTACCAGTGAACTAGAATTTAAAGGATAAATAGCAGGTACAGCAAACTAGAGAAATAATGAGAAGGTCTTTTTATGGGTGAAGTCAGTAGTCAGGACCAGCATGCTCTCTTGTATTTGAGATTCCAGTATTTCAGCATAGTCAGGGAATGCCAACTTTTCTCATTATTCCTAATAAAATTGTGTTTGAATATTTAGGAGTTTAGCATGCTAGGTGACATTTAGATTGGTGGTTTTAATCTATTTTGAAAAATATGGCCCCGCTTCATATAATCATTTAGCAGACATTTACTTTTAGTGTGTCTATAAAATTGATACACATATAAGAAGATTTTTAATTTTTTTTGCTTTAAAGTTATTTTTTTTTAAATATTGGTTTACTTACAAAGTTCGTTCATATACATTGTTTTTCACACAGGATCTTTCCCATTTCCTTTACCCACCCCTCCTTCTACCCCGTCTAATTGTACGACCCTATGGTTACCCCCTGGCCCATCCTCACCCCTCTGCTCCTCCCCTCCTCCTCCTCTTGGATCCTCATATACATTTTACTAGTTATCTGTTTTCACAATAATGGTCTTATATAGTATTTGTTCTTCTTTTTTTCTTTTTTTAATTAATTTCAGTGAAATTACAGAGATTGTAGATTTCCATTCATTCATTGTTGCACTTTTCTCCCCGTCCACCCCCACCTCCAGTTCACTCTTCTTTAAAAGCAAAAGAAAAACTCCTTGATTGGTATACAATCCCCCCACAGCCCCTCACCCTCACCCCAAGTATACTCTACTCTGCAACCCTCATTCCAGACTCTTATGATAATCATGATGCCCTAAACTATGTTACTTTTAAACTATTCTCTCCCTCATCAGCTTCAATGCAGTATACATAAATTATCCAGTTTTTCTCAGTGTTACCCCCACCCTGATGTCAGCCTCATTCTACAACAGTGGCACCATACAGTATTTGTCCTTTTGTGCCTGAGATATTTCACTCAGCATAATGTCCTCCAGGGTCACCCATTTTGAATAATATTGCATGAATTCCTTGTTTTTCAATGCAGCGTAGTAATCCAAAGCTTCTCTGTCCATGTTGTTGATGGGCACTTAGGCTGTTTCCAATACAGTATTTGTTCTTATGGGACTGAGTTAGTTCACTTCACATAATGCTCTCCAGTCCATATTCTCCTCCTTCACATATTCTCTTAAAACAACTCCCATTAAGCTTTCATCCTTATTATTCCCAAGCATTGATTTTTTTTTAAGTCCCATGGTGCCCACATTGCTTAACTCAGAGTCAACATTTAGTGTTCCCTTTGCTTGGCCTACAAATGGCCTTTGAAACAGTTAACTTTTTATCATTTAGCCCCTAGTAACTATATTTTGCTGATCCTCTTACCTCATTGGTAATTTCCTTTCTGTCTCTTTAACTGTTGTTCTTCTTGTTGTTATTGTCTGCCATTGAGTCTGAACCTACCCATAGCTGACCTGACACAGCAGGGTTTTCAGAGGCAGTAAATCCTACAAGAGGAGATTGTGCATCTTTCTGCAAAGTAGCTTGGTAGATTCAAACTGGGTGCCCTTTGGATTGCACTGCAACTTCTTATCACTAGGTCACCAGAGCTCCCTAATTACTAGTTAATCCTATATTTAGAAACCCTGAGGTTCAGTCTTTGGATTATCTCTCTTCTCTATCTGCACCCTCTCTTTTGGTGATTGTATCAACTCTCATAACTTTAAATTTAGTTTATCTGCTAATGACTCACAAAGTATAACCCTAGTCTAGAGATTTTGAACTTCAACACTCTTGGCATTTTGGGCCAGATAATTCTTCATTATAGGAGGTTACCAGTAACACTACAGGATATTTTTCCAGTATCCATGGCCTCAACCTAGTAGACCCCAGTGGCACTCCACCAAGTTATAAGAATTAAGAATGTCCCCAGACATTGCCAGAGATCCCTTGGGAATAAAGTCACCACAGTCAAGAACACTGGTTCCATTCTCAACCTCTCCCTGAACCTGTATCCCCAACTGCATACCTGGTTGCCTACTTGACATTTCTACATGGCTATCTAAAACGTCAAGCTTCATATGATCAAACAGACTTCTTCCTATATTTAATCCTTTTTCCTTCATCTTTCTCCCTGCATTTACTCTTCCATCAGATTACTCACCTCAGACATAGCCACCTTTCTAGTCAACTCAAAACCTTGGTCTTGTTTTTAACTCCCTTCGTTCTAAAGCACCTATGTACTGATACATCCATAAATTTTGTGATTCTTACCTTCAAAATAGTAAAGTTGATTGTAATAAATTATAGGTAACATTGAGAAGAATGAAAATTCCAGGACATTTAAATATGCTAATGGGAAACCTATATGTAGGACAGATCATCCAGGAGACTGGGCTCTATGAGGAGGAATGCGACATCAGGATTGGAAGAAGATTCATCAATAACCTGTATTATGCAGGCGACACAACCTTGCTTGCTTTAACTGAGGAGAACATAGAGCGCTTGCTGCAGAGGAGCAAGGACTTTAGCTTTCAATATGGATTGAAGCTCAAAATCAAGGAAACAAACATTCCAACCACTGGGCCGATTAGCGGCCTCATGATGGACAGTGAAGTGATTGAGATTGTTAGCAGTTTTCGTTTCCTTGGCTCCACAGTCAACACTCTTGGAACCAACAGCCAGGAAATCAAAAGACGAATTGCATTGAGAAAGTGTGTTGTTAGGGACCTCTCTAGAATACTGAAGAGCAAGGATGTCAGTCTGGAGACTAAGGTACACTTGATCCAGGCCATGGTCTTTGCAATTACGTGCTGTCCATCAAAAAGCTAGACAATGACAAGGGATGATTGTTTGTTGTTAAGTGCCGTCAAGTCTCTTGCAACTCATAGCAACTCTTAAGTACAGGAGCCCTAAACCCTGCTCTATCCTGTACCAACCTCACCGTCTCCAACACACTTACTTCCACCACCCGAATTACAGAATCGATCCATCTCATAGAGGGTCTTCCTCCCCTGCATTGTCCCTCCACTCTCCCAAACATGATGTCCCTCTCTAGGTCCCTCCTTGCAACATGCCCAGAATATGTCAGACGAAGCTTCAGAATCCTTGACTCGATGGAGCAGCCTGATTTCACCCTCTCCAGGATAAACCTGTTTGTTCTCTTAGCAGTCCATGATACATTCAACAGTCTTCTCCAGCATCACAGCTCAAAGGCATCAGTTCTATTTCTATCATCCCTAGTCACTGTCCAACTCTCCAATACATAGCCTTCAATTGCAGACTATAGCCCGGATCAGGCGCA